AGTAACGATTTAGGATGTTTTTACATGGACTTATTTCAATCCTTGAGCAAACGAGACCAAATGGAATCTGATCAAACCTAAATAGACCAAATCAGACTTGGACGTGTATAAAAATACACAAAGATCAGGCATATACCAAATCGGTTCGACCAGATCAGACAAGATTTAAACACACCAGACCAGAAAATTTCATCCAATTAAAAACATCATTAATATGAAAAACCTTAAGTATATGTTTAAATCCTAGGAAACGTTAGGGAAGTGGGAAAGTGATTTGAAATTCTATATTCATGTGTTTGATTTTCTCACAAACAAATACAAAGGAAGTTGTAATATATGGTTAATACTTTATTATTTTGTGCACATGTTTAAAATTCATAGTCTTTATAAAGTTTAAACCCACAGAAAAAAATGAGACTTAACTGGTCACATCCACACGGTTGCTGTACTTCCAAACATCTCCAACGTTTTAATTATAGTCTTTTCTTATAGTTCCCACATTCCAAATAGGGCCGTCTGCGCTGTTAGGAATAGATTGTATTGGACTGAACTATGAAAGTATGAAATCTCGATGCAAGATAGTTATGTCTCTATATGTCATTTTGCTTGAAAATTCTCATAATCATTTTTTGAGTCCTCTATTTGAAATCATTTTATTGTAATTGGGCACATTTCCTCGCGCATAGCGCGTACCTTGCTAGTTATACTTATAAGGGCGTTAAGGCTAACGCCATTAAAAACAATGGATGATAAATTATACTACGTAAACCGTTGTGTGAATTTCAATTTCAGATGAGATGAAGGAAATTTGGATTTCAGATGAGAATAAATTAAAGAGATAGAAGCATACGAAGTAGGGGTCATTCGGATCGTGCTCTACCGACCTAATATGTTCATCAATCCATTGGATCACATCAAACTTCTCATCGCGATGATTCGGTAGCCTGATTTGTGCGGCCATGACTATCCGATCTGATGATCTGACCTTCTCGTATTGGTGGAACTTATATACTGTACTCACCGCCTCCTTCCTGGGTCTTTGCCCTGGCCGGCCATTACATAACCCTAAATTATGGAGCATTAATTAGTCTAATGAGAACTCCTTTCAAAAAAAAATTAGTCTAATGAGAACTAAAATTAGAGATTAATATTTTACAATTAAGGAAAAATTGAAACAATATTCTTAACTGCAGACGCACTAATAATAATCACAATGGAGATTTACCTAAATAAGACTAAATATAAGGATAATTGTAACAATATGAGTTTAAAGTTTAAATTCCCAAAATAGGACTAACTCTTCCTATTCTACCCTTTCCTTTGTCCTTCCTATTTCCTAATAGGATTTTTTAAAACAATCATTATAAAATACAAAAAAAAAAATCAAAAAAATAAAATAAGAAAATCGTAAAAAAAAATTGAAAAATATACATACCTCAACCACTACCGCAGCCACCTTCCAGCACCACCACCTCCGGTCACTGGAAAAGATTGCCAAGTTAGAGAAAAATGTCATCATGATAGTAATTTTGAAGAGAAACAAGAGAAAGATGGATATTTTGAAAGAATAAAATGTCATTTTCATGGCATTTTTCAATGAAATGTGGCATTTTTTTATACATAAGATGGCATTGTTTCCGATGACCAGAGCTAGTGGTGCTAGGAGGTAGAGGGCGTGTTGGCAGTGACCTACATATTTTTAAATATTTTTAGGTATTTTATTTTATTTTTTAGACTTTTAATGTTTTTTAAATATTGTAATCTATTTTTTTATTTTGTAATTTTATTTTATTTTTTCACGTTTTCATTATTAATTTATAAATATTTTTATTATTTTTTATATAGTTTTATTATAGGTAAAACTTTGATTTTCTTATTAATAAAATAAATCTATTGGAATTATAGAAAGGGGTAGAATGGGAAGAAGAGACATATTAGTCTTATTTTGGGAATAAAGGGATTGTACTCCTATTGTTGAATTTGGGGCTTATTTTAGTCATATCAAGGGCTAATAACCGTAATCCCAACTATTGATATTTTCGTATAATCCCAACTACATTGACAGTCTCCCAGTAATGGTCCATGACCGCATATTACCTGCTCCAACAGATGATTTTTTTAATAGAAATTAAGCGTACAAATTAAAATTTGGGATTATTTATAGGGATTACCTGCTATATCTCTTTAAAAACTATAGGAATTTATTGAGAGTTGGTCACGTCGGACCATTATTGGCCGAAGGTCCCTAAAGTTGAGATTATTCTGAAATAATAAATAGTTGGGATTATTGTAAGTGGACCGCCAATAGTTGGGATTATTATAATCAATTTTTTGTAATTAAAATTAATACCACCCCTTCCTTTTTTATTTAGCAATTTTTTTTACTTTTCCAGTCAAATATGATAAATTTTGATCCATTGTTTTAATTAATATCCCCTCTGTAATTTAAAATTTGTTACACTTTCATTTTTTGATCATTTTAGAGTTTTTCTTTACAAGTACTTAACTGCCCTTACTTTTTCTACATTTTATCTTATCTTTCATACTTTTTCGCATCTCTCCTACTTTTCTTACACTATTCACTACCCTACTATTTCATCCTTACATAATGTGCCGAAACATATTGTGTAAACATTAACATACGGAGGGGAGTATATTAATGAGAAACTTTTTATTTGGAAGAAGGTGACTTATATTAAAATAACAGAACGTAAGCAGGTTACAAGAAGATAAAAAACTCATTGTCTGTCGTTCGCCTTGAACCACACTTAGAACCTATCACCTCCGAAAAAACAATAAGATTCGTTGATCTTGAATTGGGCTTAACTGAGCCAATGACAAGCAAATCAAACTTCTCATCACCAGTCCTAAGTTCTAAAGTTTTGACGAAAGGAAAAAAGCAACACAATCAAAACAACATATAGTTCGAAATAAAAACACAAACAAAATAAAACAGAATTAAAACATAGATCACTTGTCTTCTTCAAAACCCTTGACTTTCTTGCACTCCATGTTGGCGGTTCAAGTTGGGACTAGCCAACAGTACTATACCTTCTTCCACACCCTGCCTCTTATTCATTGTGTTCTTTGCCAAGCCTCTCGTATCGCCACCAAACATAGATGACATCAAATCCAGATCTTTAGCTCCAAGATTTGTCCATGATCTTCTAATCTTGACCCCGAACGTTGTGCTCGAAACCTTTCTGTGTTACCTCCTGCTTGTCGCGACCCACTTTCCATCTCAGTGCTCGTGTTCACTGCGCCATGAGAACGATACTCATCGGTCGAATAATATAGCTGCACAAAATGACAGAATAAGAAAACCCTAAGGGAAAGCGTCCGCCTTTTATAAAACCTTATGTGATACGGAGTATATATTTATGGGAAACTTAATAAATTTATACTTTTAAGATAGTACTACCTCCGTCTCTGAAAGAATGTTCTAATTTGACTTCACACATATTAAGAAAATGAATTTGACTTCACACTATAGCGACACTACTTGTCACTGTTTGACACATTTGATATAGATTTGTTTTAAGGATGTTAAGGAAGTAGGACTTTAACAAAATTATGAAGTAATTTGCAACCTTATCCGTCGGACTTCATTCGTGTGTTTTTCATATTCATTCGTTTCTCTAGTCCTAGTTTCTTTGCTTTAGTAAAAGCAAATTGGAAGACCGGACCTATCTCTCCCCTGCCTTCTTTGCTTTTGGAGATGAAAAACCAGAAGATTCTCTCTCACCATGGTTTATTTCCTTCTAGGGGTGGGCACGGTTGGTTAAGCGGACTTCGGTTAACCGAGGTATGGGTTATTAAATTTTCAATACTGTTACCCGTATCATTTGACATTAACTTCCAACAAAACGTATGAGTAGAGTAGCTGGATTTTCCTTGCTAGCCTTCCCCAGCAACCCGAGCTCGAACCCCTTCACCGTAAGCTTTTGTACTCCGTAGTTTCCCTCTGTTTTTAACTTCTAACTACTATATTTCCCACATGGGAAGGTCACAAGTAGTTTCCTCTGACATTGATCTATAAAGCACCTCATCTCAATTGGATCAATCGAGCACCTAGCAATCTGCACATTCTCGAAGTGTCTGATAAATGCTTAAGCTTTCGAGTCGATCTTGAGCGGCTCGCGAACTCAAGTAAATCTTTCGAGTCGAACTCGATCTTCAATATTCAGGCTCGATCGAGTTCGAGCCGAACTCAAGCATTCAAAATATTCTCGAGCTCGAGTTCGAGCATATGTGTGTTCGGGCTCGGCTCGTTTACACCCCTAGGTGACACTAAATTTAGTGTCACAGGTACTAAAACATATTACTGTCAATAAAAATTATGACATTATAATATCTTACAAATTTATAATGCTATAGTATCATAAAACTTTTTTGACACACCAGCAACATAAAAGTACATGATACCTTGGTACCATTATATATACAGTACATACATACATATACAACTGGTATATCGTATAATAATTAGCTTATAAATAATTGTGTAATAATTAAAATATAAGATCAACAAATAAGTTGGCATACGGTATCATTTTCGTTCTTGATCAGCGACCCGTTACTTCCCTGGTAGCATTAATACTCCAGGTCTATTATTGAAAACAAAGGAAAATCTTCCGGTAAGGTATACCTTACCGGAACTGCCGTGCGGCCTCCGCATTTTGAGGGCCTTCCCGGAGGAATTTTTCGATGAAGTTTGTTGAGCATGTTCTTCATCAAGTCTAGTACATCCATACCAAATTTCAGAAAAAAATTCAATCGGGAAGGCAGTCAAATGATTTTTGGAAGATAACTGCACCCTTTATATACATATAAAACGCAATTATCTTCCAAAAATCATTTGACTGCCTTCCTGATTGAATTTTTTTTCTGAAATTTGGTATGGATGTACTAGACTTGATGAAGAACATGCTTAAAAAAATTCATCGAAAAATTCCACCGGGAAGGCCCCCAAAATGCGGAGGCCGCACGGCGGTTCCGGTAAGGTATACCTTACCGGAAGAGTTCTCTAAAAACAAAAACCTTAGGAGTTTACTTTTGAAAAGAACTTTAAGAGGTGACAAATTCGTTATTACTTCCATTTTTAGTCTATTTGTGATAAATCCCCATAGGAAATTACTTCCATTTTTTAGTCTATTTGTGATAAATCCCCATAGGAAATTACTTCCATTTTTTAGTCTATTTGTGATAAATCCCATAGGAAAAACAGGTCTGGTCTGGTCTAGTGGTGGACCGGGACCAGCCCGCACTACAAGAAAAAGTATATTGGGCAATGAACTAATATGTAATGTGCGACGCAATTTTATATCGTTGTGTTTGAGTAAGCATTTGGACGACGGACATGAAACATAGCACTAGATGTATCCTTCCGCAACGAGTAAATATGGGCGTTGCACAAAGAAAGGTTTGGGCAACTCTCATGAAAATCGTCGCTCTAAAATTATTTTTTGCCATCAAATCTAATTTTCGCCGCCTAAGTTTCGAGAATTGGCAACATACTCAATAAATCATTAAGGGATTTCTAGTGAACCTTGAACTTAGAGGAACTGTAAAATATGAATATTACTTCATCATATGGAAATAAAACACTAAGATGCTCACTAAGATGGAAATAAAACTGTTGTCATATGTTGTGTACTTCTAGATGTTTTATGTATACAGAATAATAAAAGATATATTCTATTTATTGAAGGGAAAAAATATTTGAAAGAGTGAGAATATTAGTGATTGTGAAACTGTTGTCATCACATGATCTATTTTTCTTTAGGATCTATTATTTCAATGCATACGCCTTAGATATAATTCTTATATGGGTTATACTACGTATGAAGTAATCAGGAATTCTTAAATCTTTCCTTGATGTTGAATACCATTTCTCATTATTTTTCTCACAAAAAAAAAAATTTGTCATCTCTTAGATAGTGTAAAGCTAATTTGAATTACTATTGTCAATTCCATTTATTCCGTGTTGGTCAATTTTTTTATCTCATTTTAAAAGAAGAAGGATGTTGTTCAGTTGGAAGCCCCTGAAGGACTTCATAAGGTCAAATCTGAACTTAAGTGTGCTACTCAAAGCTATCTGATGGAGTACTATTTTGAAACAAATAGTGAGTGATTGAACTCATGTGCTGCATGGTTTGCAGCTCTCCTTTGGGGTGAAAAACTTTCTGGTATCTCTTTAACTTCACTCACTATTACCATTTACATACTCACCCTTTAAGGAGAATAATATTCTATCTTTAGGTGATTGCTCCCCAAAGTGCATGTGGTTTGCTTCTTGAATCTTGATGGACCAGAGGCCACCAAGCTGTTAAGTGCAGTCACTATTGCACTAATGCACTATCCAACTGTTCCAGAATGGTCACAGTGGAATGACTTAATGGGGAAGGGTTTGGGGGCAAGGGGGTTAAGAGGATAACAAAGTCTAACCTTTGTCTTAAGATTTTTTTCCAAAGTATGTAAAGTTTTGATTATTTTCACCTATAAACTGCAGTTCGTAGCCTGCTTTTGTTCAAGTTCATGATCCATCTCGTAAAGCTTTCATTGGTATTCAGGCTGACAATATAGGTAGTCAGGTTCCAGTGATGCTATTGCACTATCAGGGATTATATGAGCTATTTGTTTCAAAATTTGTAAGTAATGCTCCTGTCAAAATTTTAACGTTGGTGTGAGATTTTACAACTTTTGGTTTGCTAATGCTTTGTTTCTTTGTTTTAGTAATTTCTGCAAACCTCTTTGTATTAGTAAACGTTTGATAATAGAAATTACTGTTTTGAATCTTTTAATTACATAAACACCGCTTAACATTCAGTAGGAATGTTCTTAATCTCATGGAAAGGTAAAAACTAGACTCAACTATGTGTACATGTTCATGTTTCGTCGTAGTGAATAATTTATGAAGTAATTATTATGCTACATTGAAATAACAATTTTAATTTGCTGGACAAAGGTGAAAAGTGAAGGCAGAGGCATCATAACATATTACACGGTGTATCTGGAGCAAATTGTGGACATTCTAATCATTGTCAGCGAAATCACTACGACACAGGTTCGTGTTTGAACTACAATATCAACTCCATCTTTATTTTTATTTTTATTTGCAATATTAGTATATTACTCATTCTGATGAATTTTACACATTTTATTTCAAGGTGGGCCCAAGAACCAAAGTATGTCGGAGCTTCGTCCAATGTGGTTCAGGATGTAAGGATTAATTCTCATTTTTTTTCATATTAGCCATATCAAAGAGAGTACCATAAGTTCATAATGTCTGATTCTTACACATATGGAATTGTGTATCTGTAACAACATGCTTGTATGTAAGAGAAAGCAGAGTCACTCAATGAGTTTTTGAACTTTTGATTATAAATTTGGTTAGATGAACCTACAAGATCATATGTAAAACATTTGGATTATCCATCCGAATAATCATGTATATTTAATTTAACAAATTGTTGGGAGGGTTACTTTTTGGCTTTTATTTATGTGAATTTGATTTCTATTGGCATTACATTTCCCCTTCAAATGTAAAACGGAATCTCATGTGTTTTTTGAGGTTCACGTGTATATTTTTTATTACATTAGAGGACCATTACTGGCTGTGATTGTTAAGTTTATTCCTTGAATTGATAGGAGAATGTCGTTTTATTTTTGGATAAGTTTTTAAACTGTATGAAGGATGACCCATGTTGAGAAGCAAGGATGAGGGATCCTAAAAGAACTTCAAATATCACGAAGCTTTTCAACCTATCCAAGGAAGATGATGTCAGGAAATATGTCAACATGTACTGCAGGACATTCACTAATAAAAAGGGGAAGGAGGTTAACAAGGCTCCTAAAATACAGAGGAAGAGGGCCAGAATTGCTGAGAAGAAGCAAAGGATAGCCAAGGCTAAGAGAGGCTCAGGAATACCAGAAATTGCTTAAGCTATATTGCATTAATGTACCCATTCTTTTTGGACTTGGGTTTATTTCCTAGTTTTGATGTTTTATGTTTTGGAGATTTTGTTTAAAACAGTTGAGACTTGATACCGCCTTTATTTATATTTAGATTGAAATGTTTGGTTAAAAAATGTATATTACTATATTATATCTCTTGAAAAAAAATACTATGTATGTTGTTACACACACATATATTTATTACGTATTTGTGAATATAGAAACAGTGTCAAATTGGAAATTGAAACCAAATATTGGTGCATATTAATGAAGTCATGTGACGGAATTAGTGTTGCACAAGCATACACATTTGTGGCACAAACTAATATCATTGGGCAATAATATCAAAATTTGTAGCACAAAAAGTGAGTTTTGACAATGAAAAATCTTGATGCACAAAATTAATTTTCAGCTGTAAAGTTAAATACCGTTGCACAAAATACCGTAGCCTTGGGCAATGAACCCATGTCGAGATAGAATGTGTTGCCCATTATCTTCAGCAACGAATATTAGACTTTGGGCAACAAAAATTATTGTTGCACAAAGTGTTTTTTCTTGTAGTGCCGGGAGGCTACCAGTTCCGACCATGTCCGATTCCGATTTTTTTATTATTTTTTTTGTTTTCTTATTTATTTCAACCCTACCCTAAACCCCCTTGGAATTACCCACCCCCCCCCCACCCCCCAAAAAAAAGAGGCCTGAACCAGTTCACCATTTTGGTGTACCGGAACCGCCCCCCGTTACCCCCATTGGGCCGGGCCTAAGCCCGAAACCAGAACCGGTTTTCCGGGCCGGGCCGGTTCCCAGGCCGGTCGGACCGGACCGGGTTCATGACTAGTCTGGTCTGTTTAAGTCTGGTCTGTTCAAGTCTCGTCTGGGACTGAAAACCGTCCAAGTAAAAACATCCTTAATCCCCGATCAGTAATGTATGTGACTAAATGAACCAATTAACCAAAGGAAATGAGCATTATGTGTACCATGATGTAAAATGCCGTTTGGCAAAATTTACAAAAATAAATACTAGTATTAAATTTTACAACATTCTGGTTTGAAAAAGCCAGAAAAGTATCCATAGGAAAGACACAAGGGCGGGCAGATTCTTATTGCAGAGACTAGAGTTACATCTTACATGCACAGGAGAATCCCAATAGGCATCAAAGAGTATCAACGGCCGCAAGGGCCTCTTCTCAATCATCATGCATGCTGAGGAGGGAGTCCTCGACCAGTGCAGAAAAGTGATCTTTCCATTCCTGAGGCCCAGCAAAAGGCATTAAACCACACATCACTGGGAGAAAAAGGAGTATCATAACATAGAACACGACTCTCCTCATCCAGTACGGGAATAATAATATAGAAATGGAATCACCACCGTTCTTGATCATTCCTGGTGGTGTGACGTGCCCGTTGAGGAAGATGCATAAGGTCGATAAAAATAAGTTGGAAAAGAAATGTAATAAGCATAGAGACTCCCAGTAGATTAGCCAATGATACCCACTGCCTCCTAATGTGTCAATACACAGCTTTCCAGCAAGGCCACAGCCTGCTCCTAATAATAACAGTATGAAAGTAACAGGCATGGTATGATGTGAGGAGGCAGAACGCTGGAAAAGCAAATAAGCAACTGCCAGGATCATCAGTACACCAAAGAGCATCCTGGACAGAACTTGAGCCTGACACTTCAGAGTCTGCAGTCCAGAATTCATGGATTGCATCGACTTCGGCACCCACCAAGACTTGGATACCTGAATTTAAACCACGAGATACATTTCATTAGTGGAGCAACAACAAAAACACCATTACCTTGTAAATATTACCGCTACAACTAACTACGTCATAGGTTCTCATCTTACCCAATCTAAAACAAAAGGGCAATTATATCACAGTTATGTGTTCTTTTTATTAAATGCATTTCATGTGATTAACTTCTATCATACAAACCACATGAATTTATATATTGGTGAATGGTGATAGTATACCCGGTTGTCATAGGCTCTCATCTTACCCAATCTAAAACAAAAAGGCAATTATATGACAGTTATGTGTTCTTTTATTAAAAACACTTCCTTTGATTAACTTCTATCATACAAACCACATGAATTTAAATATTGGTAATAGTATACCCAGTTGCCATATTATGGAAGATTCTAAATTACAATATGAAATATTCTGTTACAATTAAGATAAACTATGAAAAGCACTAGTTACATCACGGGATAATATATCCATAGGTTATCCATCAGATATGGACCAACCAGATTAGGAACGGTTTGACTTGTACAGATTATGGACCAACCAGGTGCACCATGCACCTGGTTGCATTACTCAAAGCATAAGCAGTGTCATTAGTCATTGTTAAGATATATATCCATAGGTTTCCAACAGCCTCTCCGCATCCTCTAAATTTGTACCCATATCTACAGAAACCGCCAATTGTTACACTAGCAAACAGAAACAAACATATGATGTTTCATGCTTTCAAAAGTAAATAACATACAGTGGTTAAATCATGAACTTTTTCCAATATTGAAGAGGAACTTCTTTTTATAGAGTTCAAGCGCCAACGTCAGAAAGCGATAAACTGAAATTTAAGACCTAATAGAACCCAGAAAAAGTATTCCTTACAGTTGGCCTTAAGCAGGCAGCAGTAGCTTCAGTAATTCTTTTATGAGAGTAAACAAATGTCCCATACCCTAGGCATCCCACCATAATGAAAAGGCCAGCAACAAGACAGTCGATGCATGTTCTGAGAAGCTCAACATGTCTTGCATCATATAATTGATTCTTAAACTTCTCAGCTTTGAAAGATGCCCTAGAGAAACCCAACGATAATTTCAATCTCTCCAGCAGATTAGCTTGAGAGATAATTTCAAGTTGTTTTTCTTTAAATTGCAACTTCTTTACCATCAGACCAATCTCAAAGGTCTTCAGATCATTTGACCTAGACTGCTCCAATACAGCTTTTTCCAAGGTGTTATGCCCGGTTTTAGTAATTGCAGAGTTATACGTGTTTGAAGACACGCAAGCCAGCTGTTTTAGGATTTCTTTATCATCACGAAGGGCAAGCTGATTCATTGATTCTACCAACATATTCTCATTTACTTCATCTAGATTATGATCCAAACTTGTACTCTGCAAAGATGACTCCAAGTTGAAATCACTCAGAACAGGGTAGCATGCAGGGTCTTCCATTCTGCAGGGAAAATGCATATTAACCTCTAACATAGAAGACCCTCCGCTTGAAAGAATTTGGTCTGGCCGATTCTTTACACAACAGTCAGGTCCAGAGCCTTCTACTCTCTCCTTAAATTGTAAATTCCCCTCAGACATAGAGGTTGCAGGTGTTTGGTGTTTTATCTCAAATTTCTTGGAAGACTCCTTGACTAGTACTAGAGTCATCAAGGTACTCATAAATGATTTCTCAAAGTTTATCACAAAAGACTCAAAATGATCCCCAAAAGCCTGCAACAAACACATGAAACAAATAATTGTACAAAAATCAAAGCTTAAAATAAAAAGAAATCATAATGAAAGAGCATACTGTGTCCTCATGACTCATGAATCAAGCTGAAGTTGTTAGTCTCTCTTACATTAGCCAAAGATTCCCGGACAGCCAAAGTACAAATCTGAGAGCAAAAAAGAGCAAAGGAAAATTTTACATTATGGCATTGTGAAAATGGCACTTTAGCAAAATTCATCTATTGAGGTGTCTAAGTAAATATTAATGCACTTGACATGCAAAGATGATGACTTCTTTATATAAAAAGAATATGTTAATCACTTAATTGTAGTGCTCGAAATCGAATATATACACTTATCAATTAATATATGATTCGTTTGAGAGGAAATCATAGCACATACCTTACAGAGATGGTCAACAGACATATTTTCTATGGCCGCATCTTTCCTTTCCAGTACCTAAAAGAACATCAACAGACAAAAAGAACTATCAATTAGGATGACTGATAGTCTGATATCATTGTTGCCGAACTCCCTATCTAGCCTTGAGCCCTTGACTATCCCTTAGTAGGGGCCTAGGATGTCTTTGGCTACTATGGATGCCTCAATCTCTACAAAGCTTGGGCATTGCTCAGTTCCGCTTAGTCCCACATAACTCTAGCTCATCCCATCTAGACGGTAGTGCCAAATGGGTGCCTAGCATTTTTTGCAGCATTGTATAGATTAACAATTTGTTTGATGAATTTAATGGTATCAAACTTTTCCCCATAAGAAGTGGCAACAGGCAATCTTACAAATCTTTAGAGGTATACTAGCTGGAATAATAACCAAAATATTACTCTGTATGTCACTCCACATCTGATGATGGGATCTAGCCTTAGTATCTACTGGGGAAAAAGAAAGGCAATTTCTAATTACTGATGTGGCAAAAGAGCAAGAACTTGGACTGTCTAATAACATTGAAGATTTGAAGTATTGAACCTCCACTAAATGCCCAAAGTCATTTCATTTCAACGACTTCATAGAACGAAAACACGAAAAAGGGCAGACATATCATTTACCGGAGCACCTAAGAACCCCAGATACCTGCATTCCGGTCCAAGCTTCATTTTCAGGTAACCTTACTTTTAGCATAATGGTTCCGATAACAAGTAGGCCGCAATGATTATCCATACTCAAGCGCTATAATGTAAACATTAATGTCTATAGTTATCTCATAATTACATCTATCATGTGGTTCTTTAAAACTTGAATTTGAGGTGTCCCTTCATAGCACCAGATGAAGCGATCAACTATCTGAAGACTCAAGATGGCATACTTGAAACCCAAAAATATCATAACTTTTGAAAAAACAACTTTCTTTTCAATTATCGTAATTAGAAATACAGTGTACTATCCACATTGATTGTTCAGTTAACAAGAATTCGCATTTATAAATGTGGGCGAGGGGGCATCCCTGAGCAATTAACATGGGCCGGAGACAAACCTGAGCAAATACAGCTGCAATGGACATCCCGAGAGGAAGAGCGAGGGCGTCAACATCGTCCGCCTTATGCTGTGGGGACCCAAAAATTCGTCTACGGTACCGGCGACTATTCAATACCCTAAACCCTCGTTTCTTCGACCCAGCAACCACCGTCGCGCAGATACAAGCCGAAGATGATGAAGCCGTTGGAGAATGAGAGCCAGAAAGTTTAGGAGTTTCCGAAATCCTCTTATTCTTCTTCTTCTTTGTGCTCTTTTTCTTGGTCGAAGTGGCGGTGGCTTCTCCAAAATCCATGGAGACCGATGATACCGGCGGATTCTCTGTTGTGGGATTGGAAGCAACGACGTCGTTGTCGCAAACGGGTTCCACTGGGGGTTTGACGGGTTGCTCCATAGTTTGATGCAGTCACCGATGAGGAAGCTGTACTAGGGTTACGCCGATAGACGCCACTAAACAGAGTACCGTTGAAGGCGGTGGCAGATTTGTGATTTCACTCCATTTATTGTTCCTACTTCGGAGGTCTATTCAAAAGATGGAAGTAAAGAGCGACGTTCCAACTACCAACGGCAGGACAGGAACTCCTTGTACGGCCATGTACGTTCAAGGAGTTCTGTGAGATGTTGTTTTTATGAAATGTAGATAACTTTTATAAAAATTTAGTTTAAAATTTGATCGGGAAATTAGTCGAAATAATGTGTTTAACTTTCCCAATATAATTTTGTGGAGGTAATCTACGCTTAATAGAAATCATGCTCACAAAACTTAATTAAAAATGGGAAAATGGAAACTAATAATCCAACCTTTTAGCGGTTTTCTTTCAATAATCCCATCTTTTGATTATTCATGAATAATACAACCTTTGCTCCCCATCTTCATTCGTTGGTCCCTGATCGGTTAATGACTTGTTATTCCAAATTATTTTCTTATCTTTACAAAATATTATCTTTGTGAAAGATGAGATTTATGGTATAATGATTTGCAAAGATAAGAAAATAGCTTGGAATAGCAGGTCATCAACCGGTCAGGGACCAGTGAATGAAGATGAGGTGCAAAGGTTGGATTATTCATGAATAATCAAAAAGTGGGATTATTGAAAGAAGACCGCTAAAAGGTTGGATTATTAGTTTCCATTTTCCCATTAAAAATCCACCATGAAATCCATCAAACGGGTTTGGCCGGATGACGACTCTTGTAAGCCCATTGAGATAACTTTCGTATGAAACTTGAATCGTTTCATTTGATTTTTTTATGAAAATATATGCTCAAACGATTAACATTATTAACATGAGTGTCATCCTGATTTAAGGTTTTTAGTTGGGCGGTGATCCAAATAGACGTTTTCATGCTCCTTTGAGTCCATGTTGGTTCCCATACTTGTTCATTGAGCTTCCTTGACTTCAAAGTCACTTCCTTAATGGCTCATAGACATTCAATGCTTCTCAACAACTCTCCAATGCGTCTCAAATCACCCCGAAGAATTCTTCAACACCGGTACCGGGATCAATTTCTTAATTATAAGACTAGAAAAACACCTAATGCAAACAAAAACTCAGTGAACCATAACTTGAGTTAATTAATTGATTTGCGACACATTTAAGTAAGAAAAATTCACCAAAACCAATCCCAACACACACTAAATGCGTGCTGAAATAAGAAATTATCATATACTTCGTTCGGCCTCCTCCGCTTTGGTGCCGAGGCAGCCACGAAGCCCGACCCCAATCATTTGCGAGCCTGAGGGGGTGGCTGATTTTGTCCCTCTGGACGATTTCCTCTTCGATGGTTCGCCCCTCTGCTCGAATCTCTTTTCAGGTCGCGATACAAATCTTCGGTTCGGAGTGCATGGGTGAAGAGGCTGATACTCGTACATCACAAGACTACTCTTGTGCAAGCACGTTTAACTTGGAGTTCTTAGCTGATGAGCTTCCCTAAAAAGAGATGTACCATTTTTGTACGAGTAGTACTATTAAACTAAAAATAGTACTATTAATCACAAGTATTACAATCACCACCACTTAAGAAGTAACGTCCTCGTTGCGCCCATAAACCAATCTCAATCGAACCCCAAAATCCTCCCCTGCTAAGCACCTGCCCGATATTCAACGGATCTATCGTTGAATCTATCGAAGGTTCCAGGTCGCAGTTGGCTGAATCACTCTTCTGCTGGTCCCCGAAGGGTGGTGAAGAATAATCAACATATGACATCATCGGAAGCCCAACACCTTGAGCCCCCTCATAGGTTAGGGGGTTTGTTCTTGGATCCCCAACCCTGCTATTGACAGGCCGCTCGGCGGCCTGCAATCCAGGGGAATGCATGTGGCCATTATTGTCACAGAGAAAGAAGATGTGAGGCACAACCTGGGCTGTGCCAGAGATTGGGCCACTTGACGGTTCAGCTCGTCGGCCTGCCTTTGTAAGCCAGCTACTGTAACCTCCCGAGAAGTGGGTATTGGTGGAGTAGAAATGTTTTGTGATGCCTCTTCCCCCGCGCAGGCCTCTTCCCCTACGTAGGCATGCTCATGCCTGCGGGGTACTCACACAATTCGGTGGTTGCTTCCTTCCAGATCTTGGGAAACGGCGACCTTTGTTTTGCACTGTGTTGGTGGGCTCCCTTATGTGTGGTTGTCATACGTCGCAGGGGAGCATTGGCATTCTTTCTGTTGTGGCATCCCTAGTATTGTGTTTGGCTGCTCCCAAATGGCCTCGACTTCCAATCCTTCGAGTGATCGGCGTCCTACCGATCCTCGTGAAGGCTGAGGTGCGAGAAGCCTTGGATTCTCTCATGTTCTCACCAAAAGATTGCATACGCTGAAAAGATGATGGAGGGGTGTGCTTCGTCCTAACGGTATACACAGTCTAATCTGAATCGTTTTGGTTCGCCAGGTTCCATAGGATTTCGGCCAGTGCCCTCATCACCCGCAGGTAGGCTTGTCCTCGGTTCGGAACTGAACCGGGGGTTCACAGTTCACCAAATGCGCAAACGTGAACTAGAACCTTGAAGGGCCCGGTTCAAGGCGGTTCTGAACCGCTGGTTCCAGTCCGATTCAGCGGTTTTTTTATAATTTTTATTTTATTTATTTAGGTTATTTATAAGTATTTAATTAAAACATTAAGATATAAGAACAATACTTTGTGATTGAAAGACATACATTGTGATATAAAAACATTAAAGATGTCACAACAATCTTTATGACTTATTTTTAATAAAATTGAGCTCCGACATAGTGTAACCTTCTAAGTTGCCTTCATATCTTCTCGATTTATTGAGAAGAATCAAAGATAACGTAGTTCTATACATTAAATAAACACCATAACATCATACTAAGTATAATTAAAATAGTGTCATTACAAATACTAAACTATTCTTGAGGTTCGTCTGCATTAGTTGGAAACTACCAAAAAAAATGTTTTTGTCAACTTCAAAAAAAAATCAAAAATTCCGGTTCCGAATCGGAACCGGTTCCGAATGGGAGGCGGTTCCGGTTCTAAAAAATCTCAAAAAACCGAACCGCCTCCCATAACCGCAGGTTCAGAACCTTAATTGGCCGCAGACTGGTTCCGATTCCGATTCTGATTCCGGTTAAACCAGAAACCGGGGACCAGTCTACCTCAGGCATCAGCTAGAATCAGGTGGATGAGGTCTCTCAACCTGCCCGGGTTCCACCATCCACTGTTGGATGGTTCAGCTGAGGTGAAAGTTCGCGACATCCTATTGTCGGGAAACTGCTCAGATAGGTGCCTAGTGTGCCCAGATAAATGTCTAACCATTTTTTTCTAGTTGATGTAGCTTTTAAGTTCGTAGGGTGATGTTTAGCATGAGGGCTCGCTCTCAATTTTCCATAGACGATGCCAGTGTTGAGGTTTATTACTCTCGGTCCAAGGGTCCAACACTTCCCCTTGGACTTTTGATGGACTTAAATGGATCGGTTGTATTTTAGTGGGCTATCTAAGTGATTATGAGGCACAACAATATCAAGAAAGAGTAAGAAAGGCAAAGTGACCCAACTTCTATATACGTAGTATACGTTAGAAAGATTACAACACCCATACTGACCCCGATCCCCTATTCTATGTCGGGAGAATACGAAAAAGCAGAGAGAGAAGCTAATGTTATTGTATACACGTTGTTAACCTTTTTCAACGAAATAAACCTACTATTTATACTACCAAGGTGGTAGATGATGGTGGTGGCGTGGCGAGCTACTAGTGGCCAACCTTCGAACCATAAAATCTTCCATATTTGATGCATTCAATGTGGTTCCCGCCAAATCCTTACTTTACTGCCAAGTATCCTTAGAGCCCATTCATGGCAATCTCGCGTTTGTTCAAGGATCATGTGTCGCGCGGCCCTTGCCGTGCGGGCATCACCGCACAAGCCTAAGCCCTTCACAAGTCTTCTGGATTCCTTTATTCGTGGGGTATTGAGTCTACCCCGTCTGGTCCATTTACCCCAACACAATGTTTAAAATAATTGTTACTTATGTTACTACACTTGTTATTTTTTTAAATAAAAAAACGGTTTGATTAGTTGCACTAATTACATTAATAAAAAATGAATTAATGTCCAGTTCTTTAACAAATTATCAACATTTTGTAAACATTAATAACTTTCATATACTCAATAATAAGGCTAGGGGAGGGGAGCGGCGAAGGGAAACCCTAGCCTCCTCCTCCTCCTCTTCTTTTCTTCTTTTTTTTCTCTACTTTTAATTTCAGTCATGAAAAAGGTTTTGTTTGATCAGTATTTTGAGTTCTATCTTTACGTTTACTTTCTAGCGTTGTCTCAAGATGTTATTTTCAGTGGCAAAGTGTCGCTCACCAGATGTATATTCTCCGCCATCATCAGTCGGGTGTTCTTGTGTGCTAGTAAGAGGTTCGAAGAATGACCGAAATCGGCCCTGCTCCTCGGCGCAAACTGACTGACGGCAAACCCTAGAGAGAGGAAACTCGTTTCCGAATCCAACACCAACACCAAAGAATAACCGACCGAGGATGAGAGTCCACTTATGTTGCACAAAAGCACTGAGCGCGGCACCGATGATGAAAAGGACGGAGGCCATGCAGATGGTGGGGCGGCACCCCAGCCCTCGCGATTTTCTCGTTCCTTAATTGGCTCTAGGTGCATCTTTGTTTACCCTAATGTAGTATTGAACACTATAATTGTAATGCTTCGGCTTTTGATTGTTATGTTTCTTGTAATCTTATCAATAATAATTAAGTTATTTTCTTTAAAAAAAACATTTGGTAAACATTTATTTAATCAAACGTTATTTACAAATCGTTGTTTCTATCAACTAATTAAAATAACCAACACAATCTTAATCTATATCGTGATCTATCATCTATTTATGTTAGAACAGTCTTTTTTTTATACTCCATGGTTAATGAGGAAATGCCAGAAATAGTCCCGACTATTATAACAATACCCATATCAGTCCCGCTCTTTTTACGTGACCATAAAACACGGGTTTTTTACAATAATATTACTAAAATAAAACATATTTACATAAATATGACTATTCATTACTACAATGTGGTGTTGTGGTAACTTAAGCTCAAAACTTG